TAAGGCAAACATGAATTTCTGTGTTTGTTGAGGAATCAGCTGCCCTCTTATGCCAAGATCCAGAGTGTGTTTGTGTTCTCCATTAGACCTCTATGGTCCATGCAAATAAAACCAGAACAGCCCAGCAACACAGGGGTGCCAAGGTACAGGTTTCTGTAATTTATACTAGTCACATGTGTACTCGGCAGCTCAGAAAGATTTTAGGTGAGTGAAGGATAGCATCCCCCCGCAAAAGAAGGTATTTCTGAAAATTCACTTTTAACAATGGAAATAAATTAGCACAATTTCCCTAGTCTATCTTTCAGGCCATTACTCTTGCTCAGCTGTTTGGAAAAAGACTCATATGCAGATGTCTGAATTTAAAAAGTGGTTTAAAATTGCCATTAAGCTTCACTAGAGAAATTTCATTTACAAGCTACTTTCCCTAATCTTAGGTGTCCCAGTAGCCTGCTGTGTTTTATCCACATGCCAGATAACCTGCCTCTGGATAATGGAGCTGGCTCTTCATGTGATGTACTCAATTTTATCCATCTTTCTGTCAGGAGCTTGAATGAATGAAGTTTTGCTTTCATATTAATTGTACTTGACCCTGGCACTGGCACAGAAATCTTGAAAATGGCATAGCCTTTTCAAGAAGAAAGCAAGTTTTCCTGTGAGGAAATTTTCACTTTGGGCAAAATATACTTTTTTATGTTTTTTTTCCCCATTTTTGCAAATGTTGATTTACTGCCAGTATCTTTTCATGTCACTAAGTGCCAAGTACATCTAGATAAAAGTATAAATCTTGATCTACATTTGTCTATCCTGCTTTATAGGACAGACTATATCCTGCCCTGCTTTACAGGACAGACTATATTCTATCCTATTTTATTACCAAGTCTCCTTAGTGAGCAATATTTTCTTCCAGTTCCCTGCCCCCATAATGTTAATTCCTGTAGACAGGAGGTTTTTTTGGAAAGGAGTAAAGGAATATCCGCAAACAATTTGTTGTTTCCGATCACCAAAGCCAATTATATTGGTTGACTGAAGAGAGCTTCTGATTCTAGCTGGAAGCATAAAAAAATTGATGCACACTTGAGCTTCAGCTGCTCTTAATGACATAGTGAAGTGAATAAAAAAAAAAAGCGATACATATGTTTCTTTTCCCTTCATCATAAAATGTGAGCTTCAAGGAAAAAAAACCTCATGTAATAAGGATTCTGCAGAGAGAATTTTCCTGCTCAAGGAAATGGGAACACATGGATCGCTGTGATCATTTGCTTAGAGAATTTCTAACATACACTCAGTGCATTGCATTTCCCTCCAGCACACCTTTTTATTAAATTGTTCTCTACCTGGGACAAACGAAATAAAACAGTAGGTATGATGACAAGTATCTGGCAGCTACTCAAGACCCTGTGTGTAAAAAAGCAACAACAAATCATCATCCCAGGGACAGAGCTAGATGAAAAATAATAACAGCTGCCAGGAAATCACTAGGTATTATTTTTTGTATGAAAATTGACTGTTTCATCAAATTAAAACACTACCTTAAAATTTTTCAGTGTTCTACTAATTGTTACCACTTTCAATTACTTGTAAAAATAAAATAAAAAATCAGAAAATATAAAAGTAAATGTAAATTTCTAAAACCAATCATTTTTTGTTACAGTAATTCTAGTTAGAAAAATTATGGAAGTTCTATTAAACAGTAAACTTATTTGGGAAAACTATGTCAAACATCATCCTTGACAATGTCTCTATTTCTTAATCGCTCCTGTGTACAGAGTCAATGTGGTCTTTTAAAGATAAGATTTATTTTTTTAAAATTTCATGGCAAAAGAAGTCCACAGTTCTACAAATATACTAGCAATGAATATCAAAGTATTTGTAGAGTAAAACATCTCTCTTCACATCATAATATATATAACTTGCAACACACTGGTTGCATGAAAATCACACTACAGGACATTACATGCAAAACATGAAAATTTATTTAAAATTCTGTTGTTTTTGTTGGTTTCAAAATGAGTAAAATAAACTCCCCAATCAGAAATATTTCTAGTATGGCTCATGCTTTTCCTAAGTGACTTTGGCAGCCTGCAACTTATTGAATTATAGTTCCAGCATCTGAATTTAAAGAGTTCATTACTATGTTTGATGGAGGAAAATACACTAAGGAAGAAATCACAACTACAGGCTTGGTGCTTATTTGTTTTTCTCTCTTCCCAAAGCTGTAGCACACATACTTATTTCTGCCATTTTCTCAAAATAATAACAATATTATGGAATTGCAATCTTCATTACAAATGAGAACAGAAAGGACAGATTGACCATAGAATAAAGTTTTAATCTAAAATAGTTTGGGTAAAGTTTGAAAAATATCTAGAACATAATTCTAAACAATATAATTCTTTATGAGATATAAGTGCAATTTACGAATTTATAACTAAAAAAAAAGACTGTGGTGTAATTAAGCTCTTTAAATAACAAACATTGACATGAATTCAAATGATCTGTGGCAATGTTATTTTCTGTACTAGTCCTTTCAATATCTTTGGGCCTTAAAATCTAGGGGGGAAACAAAACTGTAGTACTTCCACCCTTTTAGAGGCATTAACTGTATGTGTTTACATTTATTCTTTGTGTTCTTAGCAGTCTCTCAGCCAAAACTGAACTGGGCTTATCTTTCTTTGCATGGTTTGTGGTTCTTCTCCCCAGTAAGGTACCAGATGACTAGAACTATTGATAGAAACATGTCTTGCAAACCATTCTGGGATTACTTCTTCCATTTTCAATTGTTACAAGTTCTCCCACATGTTTAACGAAAACTGTTAAAAAAATTCACAGAAATAGCTGAATAACAGAAAACACTGATACATTATATCTCAAGAGCTTAATTAGCAAAAGGCCTAAGCTCTCTATGAAAGAAAAGTGCTCAAATGTAGGGATGGTTGTATGTGATTTGACTTTTCTCCAGGCTGGCAGATATGAATCAAGCTGCTCATGTTATACATTAAACATCAAGAGACTGAACCGCATAAACAAGCAAGGGAAAGACTTTGATGGTCCTTCCATCTGCAAACATGCAATTCCTCTTAACTGAAGAGCACGTCAGATAGCAAATAACATCAGATCATAGAGCAGGTGACAGCTATTTCACAGGTTTTGCTATCTCCAGCATGAAGGAAATGCAAAACCTGGGTTTATGATGAAGGGAGTCTTTAAAATAATCTTCTCTCTTGTACATACCCTCCTGCAAATAAATATATATGTATATATTTACCCTCTGTAACTACCTATAACGGCTGCCAGTAACATACAATTTGAATAAACAACTGGCATGTCCTATCAGACACCAGAAAAAAATTAAAATCCCGGAACATTGCTGTCTGCTGGTTCCCATAGGGCTGATGATCTTGTCTAGATGCCCAAAGGCTTTTGTGGCATCCAGAGACTGCTGAAAAAGAGTTCACAGCAGCTTATTTATTCCTGCTTAGAGCGGTCCCTGACTACTTTGTTCAGCTGAAGTCATGCAGATCTGCGTGGTAAGGTTGAGGGTTCATTGTTCTATTCTTACATATTTAGCAGCAACCACTTGTGAGAGTAACAACTTATTGCAGACTCATGAAATCTACTGTTCTGAGACCCTCTGAACAGAGCTAGTCACGGTCTATTTGCTCCCTTTTCTTCCTTACTACAGTCCTTGTCTGGAGCCCTGACATTCTCCTTCAGCCTCTTCTAGAAAGCAAGTATTCTCTGAGTCACCAAATAGCAGAATTTTAGTGTAAACACTACTGCGTGCCACGAAGGAGGAAGTAAATCCTCAAATAATCAATCCTAATGTCTTCTTGTCCGCTCTTCACACAAACACGGAATTAATCAGACTTTCTCTCAAGATCAATGGGTTTTACTGATGCTCATGACTATTAAACTGGAGCAGCTGGTAAGCCAAGAATCTCCTATTAAGCAATAGTGCGCGCTTCCCCTCCCACCAAAAGAGCCGTTCCTACTAAGGCCCAGTCTTGAAAGCTGGTCCTCTAATAGGCAGGCAATTCCTGAGTCTCAATAATTACTCTCCTAGTAAAGTATCTTAAATAAATTACCATCCTAAACTGCAGCTCTCTGAACTTTTACGAGCACTAGAGAAGGGCTGCATGCTGGATCCTCTCCCTTTTGCAAAGCTGGGCTGTCATAGCTTGCCAGAAGCACTGACTCTGCTCTGCCTGCACTGAATGATGGTGCTGCACACACAGAGAAGTGTTTTTCAGACACGCTGGCCATTACTACATAGGGAAGAGACCACGTTCTGCACTCTTCATGTCTTCAATAAACAACACTACAGGAGCAACTGCTGCTACTACAGCAATTCATGTTGCTGGCAGTCAGTGGTAACTGCATGGGTCTGACCACCAGCCAGAGACAGGAAAATAATTTTGCCTGCTATTTTTCTTGAGGACATTAAAGAAGCCTCACCATGTCAAGGGCATGTATCATAGCAAGGAAAGGACTGATCAATTCTGGGAAACGCTGTGTCCTGGAACAAGCCTATGGGCTGGGTGAATTATCTTAGAATGGTTTGGGTTGGAAGACTTAAAGATCATCTAGTTCCAAGCCCCCTGCCATGGGCAGGGACACCTCCCATGAGATGAGATTGCTCAAAGCCCCATCCAACCTGGCCCTGAAAACTTACAGGGATGGGGCTTCCACAGCTTCTCTGGGCTACCCTGACAAAATTTAAAACTGTTACCCCTTTTCCTATTGCCACATTCCCTGATAAAGAGCCTCTCTCTCCTGTGGATCCCCTTTAAGTACTATAAGCTGGTGCAAGGTCTCTCTAGTGCCTTCTCTTGTCTGGGCTAAACAACTCCAACAACAACTTATTTTACCAGTTTGTATACCAAGATAAGATAATCCTTCCTAGAGTCCATACAGATCCACCTTCACCTGGGTATGTACTTTATTTTATGAATCCCATGGGGAAACATGAAGGTCAGCAAATGGGAAGGCCTCAGACTTACAGTTCCTCTGCAAGTCGACATTGCTGAGGGCTTACAGGAGGAATGGGGGACATTCTTGAAGAGCCACTGGAAGAGCAGGGAAAGTAAACACATGCTTCCTTGAAGAACTTGATAATTCAAGATGATTGGTGCAAGTAATTAAAAGATTATCCCATTTTACAGGATTAGCAAAATAATAACAATAATAAAACTCTTCTCCAAAACTGATAGTCAGAATTTCAGCTACATCTCTCGATCAAGTGTATGTCTACTGAACATAGAATTTGACCTCATGCTATGCTTAGCTGACAATATTTTCCACACAGCAGTCTTGTGGCTCCAGCACGAGCATGCTCTGACAGCAACTGTATGTATATGGAATATGATTTCTCACTGGAAAGAAGTCAGTTGATAACAAGTAGAGACTTACTCTGCAATCCTATTAAATAAATAACATTTTCACTCTCGGTGAGACAGATGTGCAGTGAAAGGCCTGCTGAGATAGAGAAAAGTTTTGGAACAAAGTACAGTGCTGAAAAGATTTGCTAAAATACTGTAATGGGTTAGTTTGCAAGGAATTCTGGGGAGCTCCTTCAATATAAGTTGAAACGTGCTTTTGCCAGTTTCTTTTTCTAACTCTTATGCAAGTGAGTCTAGCTATAAAGTCTTGCAATTTACACTTTTTCTTGAATGCCCAACCAGTATAGAAGCAAAGCACTGTTCTGAGTTTTCAAGCTGTTGCTGAGAAAATAGGATACAAAATGACCTCTTTTTGAAGGGTCAACACAAAAACTAGATTTTTACCTGACAATCAAAGTGGAATTGCACAGAACAGGCAGAAATACTAAGAAAGCTTTTAGGAGTTCTTGGGTCTGGGATTCTCACGTACTTTAATCAGAGTCCATATGTGCAGAAATTCAGCCTCTCTGTAAATTTGTTAAGGGAGTAATCACTAGGGAGAAGAGTGATACCATTTTTCTCATGTTTAATGTGTTTGACTAGCAACTGAAACTGCAGGACTGTTCGATTCCTTACTACATGGACAGAAGGCACACAGGTCACAACACGAATCGCTCCACTGTAATTCTCTCTCATCATCGAGCTGTCCAGGTAGAAACTCCAGTGAGCTCCCTATTTTAAACATATAATCTATTATAAAAAGTGACAGCATCATGGAAAAGTTCAAGATGTAACATCTTTTATCGACAATTACGGGTATATCATGCATTATCTCTGTAGAAATGCAAGAAACAATGAATCAGTCTTATACTTCAAACATGATATGATAAAATCAAGTAAGACAGCATGGAGGAAACTTTAGATTTTTTTTAGGCCAGGAAAGCAACGGTCTTTCTTATCTTATGCCAAGAAAGCAGGAATCTCATTTATAGATCTTGCATAAAGCACAAAGGTCAATTTTGTCTGAGAAAGGCTTCACAGAGAAAAAGATCTTTAGAGAAGGAAAGGAAATAAAAGCTGTTTCTGGCACAGAAGACAAGAAACTGAATAAGCTGGCCAGGAAAATCACATTTAAGGACCCAGCCATCTGAGGTCCTAATAATTAATCTCAAGAGAAGAGGGCAAGGTAGAGTCTGAAAGGTCCTATTTTCTAGCATAATTTAAAAAGAAACAACTCTGCTTTCTTATTAAATGTGTTGAGTTGTGTCAGAAGCAAGAATATTGTCAAAGAAAAATGAAGGCTGACTCCTATGGCAGAATCTCAGAAAACTCTCTCTGTGATGTTGTGACAATTCTTTTGGCAATGGTTTTAGAGAGCAGGTATGTCAGTCCCTGACAGCCCAGGGTAAGAGCACCTGAAGGTACACAGCTACACACTTCAGGCAGTAAATGGTCAGGATATCCAATGTGTCCATTTCTTCCAAGAAAGCTTCTTGGCCAACAGTGGACCCTTTTGTTACCAAAACTGAGCTCTTTGTTGTCAGGAGAAAAAGGCGTCAGCCCACCCTAGATGAAAAGATGATTCCTTGCCAGCAAGACCTGGCAGTCAGCCAAGCAGCTGTAGCAAAGCTGAGGTATAGTTTCCTCACAGAACGGTCAAGTAATTCGGGGTCTTTGTTCTTAGGTGTGCTTTTGCTTGACAGAATACCTCTGGACAACTAATACCACTCAGGAGGCTCAACTACAGTCACTGTAAAAATACTCAAGCTCTTTTTCTTCCCTCACTCTATAAATTAGTCACATCTTTCTTTGGCTGGTGTCCACTACACTGTTTTCATTGAATTTAGCAGTCACTCATTAATGAGGAAGAAGACGCTGCATGAATAAGGAGCTGACATGACATGACTTCCTAGATGTTAACCATCTACGTGTGCCTCAGTCTTTTGAATCTCCAGAGACATTAACAATGTGCCACGAGACTCAATTCTTCCACATGAACACTTCTCAATGGTAAAGCCTCAGGTCACAACAGGAAGAAGACTCCCATCTCTCACTGGTGGACACCAATATTTAAAAGACAGTCCTTGAAAAGAATGAGGCAGCAGTTCACTGGAAGACAGGTATATTGCTTGCTCCCAGTCAGTCCTGAGTATTACTCATGAGACACTCCCATAAGGTGCCAAATAGGCTGGTGTGGGGTAGAACACTGCGTACGGGGGAATAGCCCCCTGTTCAGTGAGGAGCGTGGAGACCAAAGAACTAAATCTACTGAAGGAATGTTGAATAGATATAACTTTCATTTGGCACTACAATTTGTATTTGGACAAACTGCTATCTCAGAACCAGCAATGGACCAGATTAAGTGGCTCTATCTCACTACGTGTAACTGGGATCAATATTGAGACTCATACTGGTGTAACTATAGCTACTGATGTCCATGTTAGGAGCATCAGTGGCGCTGTCATTCTAAAAACTTTATCTCAGCAGGGTGTAAGAGCATCAGTATGTTGCTAACACTTTATTATTCTGTGACATTTTGCTATGGCAGTTGGGCATTAGTCTGCTCAGTGGTGTACTTAATGGACACTAATTGCTTGCAATAGAAGTGCTGGAGCCTACTTTAAGGTTTGATGAGGCCACGAGCTGCCGCAGAAGATAGGATTTCAGTCATGAATCTCACATATTGTGCGTTCCAGCAGATAAGGGCAGGCATAGGAAATAACCGAACATGCAATCTCCCTAGCAGAAGAATGAATAGCTGTTCTACTTTGTACAGGGAAGAGTATGTTAGTTGCAAGGTGGACTAAATTTAAAGCATGCAGTCTCTTATCTGCTTCTTCTAGGAATCTCAGGGCTGGGACATATGAATCAGAGAATACTAGATCAGGACAGAGACAGAATTCTAAATATTCTGGAAAGTTTTTAGAAATGTTGGAGCTGAGAACAAGCATTTCCAATACCCATCACATTCTCTCAACGACAGTGAGAGGGAAACCCTTTCTATGCTATCCTTCTGCATGGAAGCCTTATACATAGAATCACACCTTAAACTGCTATCCTTCATAGAAGCACGAAAAGATAGGTATAGGTCCAGAAAACATGCTGCTTTGTAAACAAACAGAACTGCCCTCTAGACTTATCTGGCTGAAGCGCATACACACTAGAGTGACACACACCTGAAGAAGAAATGCCACCAGGTAAGACTGGAGCATGATGTACTGCAGCGCTTCAACTCAACATCGCGTCTGTGTGAATGAGATTTTTGCCAGCATATGTCAGCGCTGAATTTACCCCTGTTGGAGATGGGATGATTAAGCAAAGAGTCCACCTCCAGCTAATTACTTTTCCTCCTACAATACCTCTACATTACAGAGTATGAATTACATCTAACGCAAGCTTTAAAAACTCTGGTGATGTGAAGTTTGGAATTCAGAAACTTAAATAAGCTTACTTTTTTTTTTTTAAAGATATGTTCAGCATCCATCTGTCCTTGAAATAAACAAACAAAAAAAGTGTGTTATTTGGGTCAACTAATATGGCATAATGTTTAATAATCAATACAAACTTGATTATTAGTACTGGCAGCATAAGAACTAAAATTACTCAAAAGATTTATTTGCAGGTTATACCTACTGTCTCTTAATGCCCTTTCAAGTAAATCAACATATCTTCCTTAAACCCTTTTACAGTCCAATGCTGTTCACAGTAACTACAGTACCAATATTATCTATCTGTTCTCTTCAGTGGTCTCTTTTCCTACACATTAAAATGATTCAGATGAGACTTGTCTTACATGTAAAATACATCAGTTAGTTTGGAATAAATCCATGAAGCCAACTGCCTTCTGCATCAAGCACTTTCAAACCACTAGGGAAGGCACTGTTATCCTGAAAGTGCATGAGAGAATTTTGAGTAGTTAATCTAGAATAGTTCATATATAGAAAAATTTACACAGCTAAAAAGTAATTTAGTTAAGGAGAACAATCTCTACATTAGTGTTGTCTGTTGATTTACTTACCATGAATCAGATATTTTTAAAAAATAAAACATTTTTCTTTCCATTATTATAATGCTTTTTGGATGAGGCAAATCATGTTTCTCTCTTAAAATTTGCTGAGATTAAAGGCTGTGAGACACAGAAGTAGTATCACTAATCTCAGATGAAAATATTTGAAAGGTCTGACAGTTTTTCTGTTATCCTTCAGATGACATTTGTCCAGAGTGCTTAAGAGGAACAAACCACATGTTGCTGAAGCAAGTTCTCTGAACAATGGTATTGCCTCTTAACAATGTCAAGCTTACATCAAAGAACAGAAATGTTAAAAGGCAGGAAGCCAGACAGGTTAGTAATGAAACAAAATATGCTCAGCAGCAATTAATCTGTGAAAGCAGTGAGTTGCTATACAACAGAAAGGCAGAGGAAATTAAAGTATTTGAGAGCATCTACAGAGAAAGTGAGTCAAGGTGGTGAAAAAATTACAGTTGGGAAAAAAGTATCTTCCAATACAGCCTATAAAATTCCTTGATACCTGTATTATCTTTGATATGGGCCATTTTTTTACTTTTTCCTTGTGAATTACAAAGGCAAGAAAAGTATTAAGGATAGTCTCTGAACTGAGAGGGGTGGAACTATGTTCACGTAGTCAAAACACTGCATCCTTGACCCTAGGGTTAG